AGGTCTCCCATGTGGGTATCTGATACCCATATGCTCATCCTCCAGTGCTTTCCAAGGTGCCTTAGCTGTGAGCTGGAAAGGAAATGAAAGATCCAAGACCAAAATTGGTGTCCATTGGAGAATGTCAGAATCATAGATGTCTGCTTAACTCACTGCACCAAACTGGCCATTATTCTGACATTTTTAAAGAAAATAGTTATAATAGTTATAAAATAGTCATGTAAGTTATGATTTTGGTTTTCTTTTTTAAATGATTTATTTGTTTGTTTGAAAGGCCAAACTATAGAGAGGAAAAGGGAGAGAGACAGAGAGACTCAGAGAGGAGAAAGCTCATTCATTGGTTCACTTCCCAAAAGGCTGCAACAGCCATCGTTGGGGCTATAGTCTGAAGTCAAGAGCCAATAATTTCTTCCAGGTCTTCCACATGAGTCCAACAGACCAAGGACTTTGGCAAACTTCTGCTGTCTCCCCTGGTGCACTAGTAGGGAGCTAAATAAAAAATGGGACAGAAGGGACACAAACTGGTGCTCATATGGGATGCAGGTGTTGCAGACGGATTTAACCCACTATGCCGCAATGCCAGCCTCTGCTTTCTTAAGCTGATTTTATAAACTTTCCTGAGATAATACTAAATGATAACATTACGTTATAGTCTATGAGACAATATTCAAAATGTTTACATAAAATGAAGTTAAAAGAAAATGTGAATTTTCAATCACCCCTATGTAGATTCCTCATATATTATTATCTAGAAAACACAAAAAAAGCCAAAATTATGCAAAGGGATTACATTGAAAATGTGGCACATGAGGCAGCATCTAAATGAGGATATTTTTATCTTGGTAGATGGTCATAACAGATATGGAAACAACATGACTAGGCTGGCAATGGGAAGTGAAATTTGGGAAGTTTTGAAGATGAGTTTCAAACCTCAAAAAACATATTATGAGCAGTATATGGTAGATATAGTCCAGTCAGAAAAATGAATCATAAAAACTTGATGATTAGAAAAAGTCCTCTGTATAACTTTGCAGCATTTTTTAAAGTGCTGATAAATTCTTTATGGTGTCTTTTAGGAAATGTTCCAAGTTTACAGAAAAAAGTGCAATTTTTGCAATTGCTAGGCTAACCATCCATATATATCAATGAAGAACAGTTGGTTGATTAGATTGTTAACTTTTATATTGTTACTAATTTGTTTTGCTATTTTTTCTATTAAGTTTTGAAAGAATCCGTTAGAATCTTTAACTATGAGTATAGATTTGTTTATTGCTTATTTTTGGTTTCTTTATTTTACTTTATATTTTGATAATACCATATTAAGTTTATAAAATTGTAGAATTATTTTATCTATTTTACAATTGCTCCATTTTTTATTTGGAGTCAACAGCCTTATCTTTAAAACAATTCCTTTGTTAATGCCTATGTATATAATAGACTTTCACCAATAGACCAATCATTAATAATTATATCAATACCTTGTATTAGTAACACATTCATAGTGGTTAATACACAATTAATATATTTATGAAAAGTTTCTTAGTAGTGTTTGCTTAATATCATACTTCCATGTTTTTTTAAAAAATATTTTTATTTGAAAGGCAGATTTTACAAGGATAAGGAGAGACATAGAGAGGTCATCCATCCATTGGTCCACTCCCCAAATGATCACAGTAGCTAGAGTTGAGCTGATCTGAAGCCAGGAGCCAGGATTTTCTTCTGGGACTCCTTTGTAGATGCAAAGCCCCAAAGATCTGGGCCATTCTCCTCTACATTCCCAGGCCATTCACAGGGAGCTGGATCAGAAGTGGAGCAAGACTGGGTCATGAGTCAGAGCCCTTTGTGGGATGCAGGTGCCACAGGGCAGATGATTAGCCTGTGTGATCACCTCACAGGTCCCTCTTCCATGCCTTTTGAATACACGCTACCTGGGTCCTAGTATTTAAAGTTTACCTTTAAGTAGCATAGACCTGTCTTCATTATACACTCTGAAAATCTTTGAGATTTAATCAGTGTTTATTCCATTTAAGGTATTAACACAGGGGCCAGGAGAGGTGGCCTAGCAGCTAAAGTCCTCACCTGAAATGCACAGGGATCCCATGTGGGTGCCGGTTCTAATCCTGGTGGCTCCACTTTCATCCAGCTACCTGCTTGTGGGTTGGGAAAGTAGTCGGGGATGGCCCAAAGCCTTGGGATCCTGTGCCCACGTGGAAGACCTAGAGGAAGCTCCTGGCTCCTGGCTTCAGATCGGCACAGCACTGGCCGTTGTGATCACTTGGGGAGTGAATCATCAGATGGAGAATCTTTCTGTCTTTCTCTCCTTTTCTCTCTATATCTGACTTTGCAATAAAAATAAATAAATCTTTTTTTTTAAAAAAGATATTAACACAGGTATATACAAGTCTACTATCATGAGACTCTTTTATCCCATCATTTGAAAAGTAAGCTTTTAAATTTGGAATGATTTTAGATTTATAAGAATTTGTGTACATGGTGCAGAATATCTAATCATTTGTCCAGTGTCCCCTAATATTGGTATCTTGCACAGTTGTGGTATGTTGCTAAACTAACAAATTAACATTGGTGCATCAGTATTAACTAAACTGTAGTCTTCATGTGCACTTCACCAATTTATCACTGATGTCTGTGTTCTGTTGCAGGTCCAGCCCTGATTACCACACTCACCCTCAGTATTCACTCTGCTTTTGTCCCCTTTGAATTGCTACAGTATCTTACTATTTTCTTGTTTTTCACAGTCTTGACCATTTCAAAAAGTATTCTACATATTTTGAAAAATGTTCCTCAATTCCATACTGAAGTCATGATCATCCTGATAAAATCGCAGTTATGAATTTTGAGAAAGAATATGCCATGTTTGAAGGTTCTTCCTATTACATTGTACCAGTGAACTCATGATATGGAATGTCATAACCAGTCATAACAAGTTCATTCTGTTGAGGGAGATTGGATTTCACAGATGTCTCTGTGATACGTGTTTGTCTTTGTTTTGACTGTCTTGGTTGCAGTCCAGTCCCCACTCACCTGGGGAGAGGGCTCAGCCTTCTTTTCATGAAGGAGACATACCTTTCATTTAGGTCAGGTCGGGATTCTTCCTTCAGGAAGATGTGTGCGTTCCTCCTGTCCCATTTGTTGGTGCGTTCCTTTAGTTGTTTTATATTTTTCAGGTATTTACTTTATTCCATCTTATCTCCTCAGGCATTTAATTTCAAAATTTTGCAATATTTGTTTTAGTGCTCGACCTTGAAATTATGTTCCTGCTACACTGCAGCTGCTTTTAACTTAGCAGTTGAAGAACATGTCAGATTCTCAATCCATTTATCTCCTTTCATATCTTTTTGCTACTTTGCCCAGATGTCTTTCTTTACAGCATGTTTTGATCTCCATAGGTCATTAAAATGGAAAGTACCTAATTATTTGAAAATCTACTTACTGAAAACATTAAGTAGGAGTCTCATTATAACAACCCAAACATCGTACATCATTAATCTTGAATAGCAACTTTGTCAGTGTGGGAAAAAAAGCAGTTCATACAGAATTAGGATTGTCAAGGTGAGCATCAGATAGTGTGTATGTTCTAAAAGCTACAAGTATTTGTTCCTAGAGTAAGAGAATATCAGAAAAGCAGGAGGCAGATGCAAGCACAAATCTCACTGTGTCACATTGTGGGTATCTAACAGAAACTAATGGACAAGCAGAACAAAGGAAGGGAGAAGCATATTATTTTCTGCAAAACTTTTATTTTCATGTCATTGGTACAAATAAGTGTAATGTCTCTGTTCATTGTACAATGAACATAAAACAAGGCATTATGCCCTACAAGTAAGACATAAAATGTCCAAGGGAAGAATCAACATGAAAATGTTGAGTATATAACATGAAATCATTTCAATAAATAGCCAACATTGTTTCCAAAAGGTACAAAAATAAATTGACACACACGCATTCCCTGTCCTCAGCAATGATTTCACCATCTCCTTGCTGGGATCCCACACACAATACACATCCTCTCTTACAGGACATATAATAGTTCCCCAATAAATAATATTAGATTTCAATAAAATCCAAAAATCCACTGTCATTCAATGTGGACAATGAATAGGACAGAGGGATGTTGGATGAAACCCTTTTCATCTTTCAAATAGGAATAGGTAAAATATTAAAATAGAAGCTTTGAAAAATAAATACATAATAAATAAATAGAAGTCTTATAGGAAACCATCAAATACATGAACCCTCTTCCCCTTCTCGGAAGTCAAGCTGCTCTTCTGCGCATGTCAGCTCTCCTGAGGGCAGGGACGGTCGTGCAGCAAGCACAGCCATAAGGTTTTTCCTTCTTGGTCACTTGCTGCTACCCCTGGGTAGAGAGAGAGATTCGTGTTAGAGGTGCTAAGGAAGCGCTGCTCTTCGCACTGGCCCCTAAGACAGCAAGGATTCTTGGGTGAAATTCTTGCCTACTGTGTCTGGCTATACTCACTGCCCCCACACAGCCCAGACCCTGGTCTCCTGGATGTTTTCTTTGTAGAATAAATTCATTGCTGTCTCAAGTACACAATGGGCTGCAAAGAGCCAAAACTTGGCTCACCAAAAGATCCACATTCCTGATCTCACTGAAGCCAACCACACAGCCTTATGTAGCCGCTACTATTCTTTACCCTCTTTTGCTGAAACTAAGAACGATTCAGTAATGTCCACGTTGACCCTAGCCTTGGTTCAGGACAGTGTCCATGAAAAGCAACTGCACTTCCAAAAACCAAGGAGCACATTCGCCTAAATCTGGAGCCTTAGGTTTTCAGGCCTGAGACATTTTAGCATCATTGGTTAAATCTGCTTAGTCTTTGAGGGATTGATCCTCACTCACAGGAACAGAGTGCTAACCATCAGACATTCAATTCTGGCACCCAAGAATTGAATGCATCTGGGACACACTTCTTTGCATTTTTTAAGGGGCAAGGCCAGCGAAGGGAAAAATGACTCCTTACTCACCTGCTGAGCAGCTTCTGCAGGAATTTCTTCACCATGGGGGCCTCAGGGTTGAGACAAACGTTCTGCCCAGACTTTAGAGTGGCTCTGTGGGGAGAAGGGAGGACCACGTGAGGCAGAGGTCAGGCCAGAGCAGGGGCAGGGGGCAGGGAGCAGGGCAGGAGCAGCCAGCGCACCAGAGGGGACTTACATGATTTCGGTCTGGTCGCAGTGCGGACCCGGGGGCAACATCTTCACGCTCTGGATGTTCTTGAAGTGAATTCCCTGCACCATCTGCAAGCACTGGCAGCGCAGTTCGGGGGGCGCGGGCGCTCCTGTGGGAAGCAGAGACTCTGTGAGCAAGGCTGTGCGGGGCGCGCACCTCCGCCCCAGTGGCGTCCCGTGCGGGGTTGGCTGGCGCGGGGACTCACCTGCTGCGCGCCGGCCGGTGGCCACCAGGAGCAGCAGCAGCAGCAGCAGTGTGGCCCGCAGGAGCCGGGGAGCGCGGGGTGCGGCGGGGAGCGCGGGGTGGGCCATGGAGCTCGGTGGCTGCGGGTCTCGGAGCGGGTCAGCTGTGGGTGGTGTGGTCTTGTGGGCTGTGTGTCTCCTGGAGAAGGGATAAGGTCTTTTATGCCTGATGGATGGGGCGGGGAGCACAGGAGCTGGGTGCTGGGAAATTCCTGGAGCTTCTGGTGTTTCCCGATTTCAGGAAGGAAGACACAGGCACCGCCCTACTGCGTAACAGGCTCTGACCCAGGGCCTGGATCCAGACTTTCCTCCCCAAATCCCCAAGAGGGATGAGTTGCCATGGCGCGCTGAAGTCTCACAGAGTGAGATCTGCGTCCTCAGTGAGCTGAGTGCGCAGAGCAGGAGGGGCGAGTCAGGCTCACGGAGTTCCCGATTCAGTTACCGTGATAGGAAACCTTTAGGGAACGTTCTTTTTCATGTCTATTTGCTGTGTCAAATGGAAATATATTTCTCTCCAAACATTTTATTGGGATGTAAGAAATGACTGTTTCTTTCGGATCATTAACAGTTGGTTGCCCCACTTTGCATGTGTTACTTGAAGCTGAAGGGCCGTAGGAAACTTGAGCTGAAATGTTGGCCAGACCCAACCCGTAGTGTAGTGGTGACTTCAGAGCAGAATTTCATTTATTCCATGGTAGTGGGCCAGAAGAATGTGACATTGCCAAGAAACATTCCATTATGTGACTACTACAATATATATATATATATTTTTACCAAAAATTCTTAGCTGCACACATGAAACAGAAGCCTTTTTACTTGCTATGTACACCACTTGTCATGATTTCATTCATTACAACCTTGTATCAAGTTTCAGGAATTTTTAATGGCATCCACGCTTTCAAGTCTACTACAATAAACAAATTCATTCTTGTTTTAATATGTACTGAATGATACTTTCATTAGTTGCCCGCTCATGCATTCACTAACGCAATGAGGATATCACTAACTTAGAAGGCCAGGTTGGTAACCTTGTGGTGTTTAGTATCTCTTCCCTACTGAACTTGGATGATCTGATGTGATTACCGAGCGTAGGTATTGTTAACCTGACAACCAGAATGAGGGGTGTGGCTAAGTGTTACCATGATCTTTGAGGAGCTCAACATCTCCTTTATTTCCTAAGAGCTGTGGCTCTTTGTATAGTAGCTGTGCTTTCAAGGGAGAGAATGCAAATTTCTGAATATGTTGCTACATCCCCAAATCTGCTATCCTCCTCAATAAGAGCACTTAATGGTGCATTAATCTCCCTTCCCAATCTTTAGGACAATTTTTATTTTTTCTTATCTCCAATCTCTAATTTGTACCTATGGAGCAGTCATACTTTCACTTTCCTCTTTAAAATGTCAGTTTCCATTAGATATCGTTGGCTCTGCTTTTATTAGTCCCTGTGTCAAAGTGAAATGACTCAGCTTGGAAGTTTAAGAGGGAAGCCTGTGACTATGGCAATGTTAACATTCCTTCTTTTCTGTGCGCTCAGTCAGGACAACATGACTTAGATCAATGCAAGTAACAAACTTGGCCAAATCAGGGACTGCGGCAGTGTGCAGAGTAAGGGGATTGAGAGGATCTTGCTTCTTGCTCAGACTGTTAAAATGGCAAGATGAAAATCTGGAATTTTGCCATTGCCTGTTGATCTTTCCAAGAATAAAGCCAGCTCAGCAGAAAGACTGCTGGCATACACAGACAATAAGAATGATCAGAAAGGCTGCTAGAACCCCCTGCATGTTGTATTTCTAACTTAATGCAATAGCTGTCAATTCTATGTAGCAACAGATGTTCTCATTAAGCCAATGAAGCTTGTTTTTTCAGCACTCATGTTGAATCAAAACTAAAACCTTCCATTTTCATGTTGCTGCTAGCATTATCTACCAGAGATGGATTTCTTCACTGGTTAATTCTTTCCTTTCCTGCTTTTCTCTATTCATTATTAAATTATCATTCATTTATCTGGAATCAAGGTAGGTATTAGGAGCACAAAAAGATACAAGATGAATTCCACTTCTACCAAGCTCCCAGTCTAATGGGAGAAGCAGACACATAAACCAAAATTATGAGGCAGCAGATGAATCTCACCAGAGAATATGCCTTGGGTAATATGTGAGAGCATAAAGGTGTGACACTGACATTGTGACTCAAGAGGAATTACGGAGAAGCTGTGAACACGATCCAAGTCCCCCATGCAGGTTGCACAAATCCCATTGCTTGAGCCATCATTACTGCCTTTCATAATATACACTGGTAGAGAGCTGGACTCAAGAACTACTCCAGTTGAGGGTTGGGCATTCTAAGTGCTAGATCACTCACCCCTTAATTAATTATTAGTTATATTGGTTTTACCACAATAAAAATGTTCTTAATGAAAGTTTTCCCATTAACTACATGGCTTTCCTCCTGCCCGCTAATATGTGAAAACACTCTTTGACATCTAATTTGGGTGGTATTTACTCAAAATCTAGATATGCTAGTGGTATAAAGTATATTCCTGCAGAGGACCAGATTACAAACACAAGTGATGACAGCAGGTTTCAAAGGTAGGTATCATGAGGTGGGAGATGGTGCTTTGTGGTAAAAGAATAGAAGCTAGAAGAGCCAACTATGCTGGTAATAGACCTTGAGGGACATAGTTGTTCATTCTCATTGTCCCCTTTGCTTTTTGATTGTTGCCACCCACCAGAAGCTGGGCCCTTTGCTGGATCTGAATCTGCAAAGTATATAGTTGATGTGGTTACTTACTGTGTTCATTTCTCCTCCTCTTCTTCCTTTTTCTTTAAAGAAAGGTCTAGGGTAGCCTTCTAAAGGCCAGATACTCCAGGTGTTCTACATGGCTTGGACCCTAGTGAGTCAAACATTTTGCTGCCTTTGTATTTGATTTTCTTCCTTCTTTCTTTTCTTTCCCTTTTCTTTCAAAACAACATTTCTTCATTGGCTGTAGCACGCTGGCTTTGGGTTGTGGTATTGCTGAAGTTATTTTCTTTACGATTATGGTCCTCTGGAGGGTTGCCTGGAATTGCAATTGCTGTTTGGAATATGTGGTCTGAGAATAAAGCACCAAGGAAAGGTAAGAGATATTCATTTATTAGGTTCCAGTTCTTGGTCAGATGTGGTGTATGAGTTTCTCATAAAGTCATATTAGTACTTTTAAGAATGTTACAAGCTTTCTATACAAAAGGAAACTAGAGTGTAGGATGCTATATGTGGAGCTGGAGTGAACCAGAGCTCTTTGCTTCGGAGCAAGCATTAGCCTCATGGTTTGGTTACCCGCATTCCACAGGTAACCGTATCTTGTTCCAGGAGCTGGCTCTAGTATCTTGCTAATGCAGACGCTGGAGGACAGCAGCAATAACTCAAGTAGCTGAGTTCATGCCAGCTATGTGGTAAGCTTGGATTATGTTCCTGTCTTCTGACCTTAGCTCAGCCAAGTTCTGGCCCTTGGGGGCCATTGGGAAGTGGATCAGTGCAATGAGTAAACCAGTATTCCTCCAGATTAGGAAAGAAGTGATTGGGTAAAACATGTTAGTTAAGTCTATGGGGTATGTTTTAGGATTTTTCAGCCCTTTTAGAAGGAAATGTATTTATTTTTAAAATAATCTTCAATCCTGTTTGTACTAGGAAAACTGGAGATGTTAAAGTGAGGATGTTAAAGTGTCCAGAATATCAGCATCCCAGGTATTCCCTGGTGTGAGTCAATGTCCTTTGCAAAGCTCAGGTTGAAATTTAGTTGCCGCTTTGACATTGCTGGGAGGTAGAAAGTCTCCACTCTGATGAATGGACAGATGTCGTTATTTTGGGAGTGATGGGCTTCTGGTGAAAGGATGAGTGTATTCTGATTTTCTCTGACTTGCACATGCTTAGTGGCTCTGCTGCTCCATGATGACACAACCAGAAGACTTTTCCAGATGCAAGCATCATGTGCTGATACACAGTGAGAAATAAATTTGTGAAGTTTACGTAATGTGCAGTATTCTTACAGTCATTAAAGAATGACTAAGGGATCATCTTGCTTACAGTACCATCCCAACTGCACACGGTAGGAATTGCTTAGACACTCTCCCCACTGGGACAGGATCTGGTGTTCTGAATGAAGTCAGATGGTGAAACAGATATGTGAAAGACCTGACTGGTCTAAGCATCCTACCTCTACTGGTTCGCAAAGTGTCTGGGAGGCACTAATAAAGAAGTATATTCCACCATGGATTTTCAAGTTTGATTCAAGAGACTAGAGCAATGTGTTCAGACTATAAGTCATGATCCACTAATGGTTCAGGAAATCAGCTTTGTGGGCTGTAGCCACTATTTTGAAATTTCATACAATAAAATCTAATATAATGAGATAAATATGATGGTATAAAACATAGTATAAAGTAGAATATAACATTAAGTCTGATGAAATAACATTCTAAGGGATTTTTTTAAAAAAAACTTGGGCATTGTTCTGTTACATTTCTGTGCCTCATACCATAGGTAGCTGTGCAGAATTAAAAGCTTGTTACGCAAGATGGAGAAAAAGAACTTTCATAGCAAAAATACCCCTTCTGTGATCTTGCTACACTGACAAATGAGTATGTAATAAAGTCTTAGTTTGTAGATTATATCTGGTGAGAGTTTCCAGGCAGGGAAAAAAAAGAAGTCTGAAGCACATTCCGTTCTAATTCCATCACTCTCCTGAAAGTTTTCAAAGCAGACGGCCCCCAGTGGAGGGTTGAACAGCCTGGGCTTTTCCTGGCAGGAAGGACAGCTCCCTGAGCTCTTTTTATGCACTGTTCTCAGAACAGTGAGAAGTTTAACATGGTAGATTTGGCAAAATTTCTTTCAGCCCATTGGCCAGCTGGGTATCCTTCCTTATTATATCCAACTAAGGATGTTAGTTGTAGGAAGCACATTAGAGGAATAAAGGAAAGAGCCATACCTCGACACCTCACCACTGGCACTCTACTTACCAGTATCTTAATTCTTCCAAAATATGAATTGAAGCATTCAATTGCAGCATTTGTTATCTTTATTTGAATGTCTGCTGAATGAACTCAATGCATCAGAGTGTTTGTAACATAAAAATAATACTAACATTCAAATAACCATTTTAATTCTAATTAGTCATTAACAGTCAATCAAAAGTTACTTTTCATTAAAAGGTATCCAAAAGGGTCCAAGATTGTGTGTATACTCCTGTGTATAAACTCTTTTTTTTCTAAAGATTTATTCAATTTTATTGAAAAGGCAGATATACAGGGAGGAGGAGAGACAGAGAGGAAGATCTTCCATCTGCTGATTCACTCACCAAGCATCCGCAATGGCTGGAGTTGAGCTAATCCAAATCCAGGAGCCAGGAGCCTCTTCCAGGTCTCCCACACAGGTGCAGGGTTCCAAGGCTTTGGGCCATCCTCAACAGCTTTCCCAGGCCACAAGGAGGGAGCTGGATGTGAAGCAGGGCCATCAGGATTAGAACAGCACCATATGGAATCCCAGTGTATGCAAGATGAGGACTTTAGCTGCTAGGCTATTGGACCGGGCCTTAAACTTTTTTCCTAACTATTATTTTATTTTGATAATCTTTAGTTGATTAGGGTACAAAGCATCAAGAGCTACAGGAAAGTGGGTAAGACCATTGTTTCCACATTCTCTCTCTCTCTTTCTCTCTCTCTCTCTCTTTTTCCACCTTTACCTGGGATAAGGGATAAGGGAGAAGATAGAGGGAGAAGCCCCACCCAGCCTCCAAACTATTCCAGGGTCCCCAACCTGGGGCATGCATCGAAGGCACTGCTCAAGTGGTTTTGATAATCTAACAGTTCTGAATTGCTGCCAATCTCGCCATTCTAAGCACAATGAAATTCCTCCAGAATCCACTGGCTAATATAGTCCACCTTAGAGTCTCTGTCCAAATATTCACTGCCAGCACATAGCTTTGGTAGTTGATTGATTTGTTCTGTCCTCTGTCCTTTGTTGTGGTAGTAGGTGTCCTCTGCAGGTTCCAATGGACCGCCATATTTACTATGTGTACCTGGATATGTTGTCCACTGTTCCTTGTGAACCTCTGAAGAGTCTCAGCTTTGACACTTGCATTCCATGGTCGGATCATGGAACCTGAGATCAGCAGTTCAAATGGAGGGATTTCCCAAAAACTCCATCTGAGGTGATCCCAGACCTTATTCTTGTGCATGCATGCCAGTACAGTGTCTGGCACAATCCATCACGTCAATCAGCTTATGCACATGCTAGTGGTTGCAATTGCTGGGTCAGCTCTGTTTCCAGCCTTGTCTTCCACACAAACCAGTGGATGTTACAGGCCAGCCTGATCCTGCCCACCACACTTGGCCTTCATGTAAACCAGTGGGAGCTACAGCCTAGTCAAACTGACTCATAATAACACCCACCAGGCTCAACCCTACCCTGGTTCCCATGCTTGACTGTGTGTACAGCAGACTAGTCCAGTCTGTCCCACATCCCATTCAGCTCTCCTACAAGTCAATGGACATTGAAGCCTAGTTCAATAAGCCCACACATGTGCCAGTGGGTGCACTCTCTGTCTGGCCATGCCTGCTCCAGTCCTGGTTCTCATGTTCACCAATCATAGTGGTAACCCAAGAAGG